TATTAAGATCCAAATGTTTGCTATATAATCAAAAGAATATTCAAGATTTTAATAACGCCATATTAACAAACATATAGATATTAAACCTTTATCTAAACAGTGATTTCAATAAAGGGCATAACTTCCAGGAAAATTGCAACAAAATGCCTTCAGTAATCTAAAATTGAGGGGGCAAATATACTTTAGTTAGCAAAGGCCAGAACAGATATGATCTAACTCTGGAGTGCCTGATTTTTTTAAAAAAAATAAACAGCCAAAGCAAGAACTTCTTTTGTCCCTAGGTAACCTGAAACTATGAAGGTGTAGGATTATGTTTGTGGTTTTGGGTAGTTTGCTGAAATTGTTTTCAACTTCATGGTCCGTCCAAAATTCACATTCCATTGAAAATTAATATGTGAACTAGACACATATTAGGTATAAATTAATTGCAATGCCTGTAGATTTTATCTTCTACTCTTTCTGGAATCAGTGCCTTGGATGATCATTTCTCAGCTGTTTATCAAAATTTCCCTTCTCAAAATGAAGAGTCCTTTTTAAATTTTATGAGCATGTTTTCTATTCTAGAGAAAGACCTGGGCCTCTAAATATTGCCAGCAGTTCTAACTCCATGAAGTTTGTGTGTGTGCATTCGAGTCAGTGTTAATTCCTGGCGACTGCCTGGACAAATCCCTACAGTATCCTTGGCAAGATTTCGGAAGTGGTTTGCCACTGCCTGCTTCCTAGGGCTGAGAGAGAGTGACTGGCCCAAGGTCACCCAGCTGGCTTTGTGCCTAAGGCAGGACTAGAACTGATGGTCTTCCAGTTTCTAGCCTGACTCCTTAACCATTGCATCAAACTCACTCTTCATGATGAGTATTCTTCAAATGTTGCTTGTTTTTCTCCAGTGTGTCTTCCAGATACATCAAGCAAATCTCACAAGACTTGAACAATAAAAAGCAAGTTTCCATAAATGTTTTAAAACAATTTAATCTCATTTTTGAGATTGGGACTTTGAGCCCAAGTAAAATATACCCTTCTTCTTTCATGGTTCTTAGTTAGCTCCTATGGGTTTCCCAGGTTTTTTGAGAAGGTAAAAAATGGCCCTGGGAGCAAATCCAGCCAACAAAGAATATATGAAATAATGCAGGGACATCATAATTCATGGAGGTTATTGGCTCAAAAATAGCCCAGATAATACTAGATTTTTTCTGTCCACATTTCATTATTCATGAATACCTGTGCTTTAAAAGAAGCCTCATTTTATTTCCATTATGATCCTTCATTTGCAAACTTTTTTCTTACAGGATTATTCTCCTTGTGTCTCTATGTTAGGAATATGCATTGTTGGGGTTGACAATGTCATTGATGGCTGGGGAAACTTTTGGAGGCCCCACAGATGAGTGGGAAAAAGGTGTAGGAACATGCATTCCCTCCCCTTATAAGCATCCCCCCACACACAAACTTTCATCAAACAATACTCTTTACCGAATATACATACTCATGCACACACAGGTACTTTTTACAGGCATACAGACCCCTTTTCAGATGTGTCCACAGGGTTTGGTAAAAAAAAAAAAAAATCAAGATATGGCCAAGACAATGCACTGAACCTCTGCCAGTTTTTGAGGTGTCTTCCATAAAAGTGGAGTTTCAACTGGACCATTGTGACAACCATCTTGACTTTTTTGACCACATCCTATGGATACTAATGGTCCCTTCCTAGCAAATGATTGCTCTTTCCCAGATCAGTAATACCCCTACCCCACTGGACGTACAGCAGAGAAAATTGGGTAAGTCTCTCTATGTTGCAAAATGAGGAGCTGAAGACCATCAATTGCCCAATTATAGTCTATTTAAAGTCAGGAGCTTTCCAAGAAAAGATCCTATTTCTGAAGAACGTTATTCTGAATGTCATCACAAAGAATGTTTTTCTTATTCCAAAGCCAGAAGAGAGGTGGGGGGAAAGAAAAATGAAGAGCTCTACAGTTGTAATTCAGAATAAAGCTTTGAATTTCATAGTTTACTGCCGAGGCTGAATAAAGCTATTTTTTGAAAAGGAAAAATAATTTAAAATTCCTTCTACTTCACAATTTCCTACATTTAAGTCTACAGAACATATTTCGTGGAAACAAAACCAGTTCCTTCTGTTACCATAATATGATTTCAAAATATTTTTACTTTTCTTCTGCTATCCATGTCTGGCTATACCATTTTATTTTGCATTCCTATCATAATAGATTAGAATGCTTTCATTTATTTGCTTATTTGAATAATTGGTATGCAACTTCTCATTTAGAAAAAAATGCAAAGGGGTTTATGAGAAATATTATTAGTATTAGTATGAATATTAATATTAATAATACTGTTAATCAGACGTGCTATCTCACGTGGTCTACAAAATCATGCTTGAATCTGGACTCCATGTTCAAACACAATCTTGAGCAATCACTAAACTACTGTTACCTTCTGGTCATAAGACTCAATATTCCTTCTGTGCCTGCTTTTATCATCATCATCATCATCATCATCATCATCATCATCATCATCTCTTATTTTCTTTCTCCTAATTTTTCTCCTCTCCTTTCCTTCCTTAAATGCAAAATAAAAAGTAAAACACTTGGCTGAGAAGTAGCTCAATTGTCATCCATTGGAACCAATTTGCCATCTTGGCCACTGACTCATTTCACTGCATTTTGGTTTTAATGCCATCTTGCCTTTTCAAAAATCTGGTTATCTTAGTGGGATCCTGTTATTAATTTGAAACCCCAGAGTTATGACAATTGGTTTCATCCTTAACCAATCTTCCCCCGTTAGTGAAAGCTGGACTATAGTTCTAACACCAAGAGTATATTTGATCAGTGAGAGGGAATGTATCTACGAAGAGGAGGGTGATGTAAGAGATCAAGGCTATCAGGAAGGAGGGGGTACATTCCAGGAAGGGAAAGGAGACAAAAGACAACACAGTCCGCAGGGGAGCATGGGAAGCAAAAGAGGTTAAGGATACCCACTCCCTAGAATCTCCCAGGGTATATCCACTAGTTGCAGTAGTATAGATTTAGTCTGGCAAGATTCTGTCAATAAGGTGTAAGCAAATAAGGGAACTGAATGCAACTGGACTGTTTCATTGTTGTTCTTGGGTGGGGCCTGACAATCAGAGTTGTACCATCAATATACATTGCACCATCTATTATTATCCATTAGTTGTCACAATCAGTATGATTCCCATTAGCTGCCTTTGGGAATCATTTAGCAAATTATGTGGGTGCAATGATGAATGTGCTGACCTTCCACTGCACAACATATCACAATTGATCTTTTAAAAGTTGTCTTTTGAGAAGTGGATCTCTTTGTGGTCAACTTGTTGGCAACTGAAGTCTGCTACATTCACATTCTTAAGTATTTAGGTACAAATTTAAATAAAAGTGATGTCTATAGGTTGGGGGACCCTCAGTAAAATGCTCTGTAGTGGGACTCCTCCTGATATTGGGGGGATCCCAAGAGCCTCTGGAAACAGTGGAATGATTATTTTAATTCCCCAAAAGATTGGAAGTGGTACTTTTGAAAGCAGCACTGTGGGAAATTAAAATCATGAGTCACCACTCAGGGAGGAAAAACATTAGCAATGGATCTGCTGAAAACGGGTAGGAGCTTCATGATGCTGCATGGTGACTCAGTTCTCATATGAAAAAGGAAGGCATTTCATGACCAAATTCAAAACTACTGCTCTTATTAATTTCAGCGTAGTCATTCTGACATTTGACTATGAAACTGTGCTACCATGACCACCAGATCAAGAGTTTCTTACTCAGTGCCAGAGGCAGCCTTAAGCCCTAGATGTTATTCAAAGCACTCTGATTTACCTGAATCTGGTATTCTAAATCTCTTCATTTACTGCTTTTTATCTTGTTCCCAAAGTTTTCCAAGGAAGGAACATGTTGGCCATTGCATATTTTCCATTGCCTCATTAAACTTCCACTGCTTACATAGGGATAAAGTGCAAATGGCAACCCTAGATATAGTTTTTCTCTCTTGCTTTTCCTAATCTTACTTTATACTTTTTCACACGTTCGTGTTTTTTTCAGGAGGAGAGGTGTGGGATGGCTGGATCTGTCAACAATAATAAGAAAACAGGACTGTGCAGACCATAAAAATTATTTGGAAAATGCACTTCAGATTTGCACAAGCACAGCATCCCTCTGCTATTCATCCCCACATATGAGATTGTACTAAATTAGTACAAACAATGTACTAAACATTGCTTTGACATTATTTTCAGTCACACATTTATTTCTGCAAGGAAGTTTTACTACTATGTTTGCCTAGAGATTGTCAAGTATTATGCTGGCATGGAAAACACTGTGCCTATTTCCAAATTCTTATATGAAGTGGATTCTGGGGGGTGGGGGTAGGATTTTGCTATTCCATTTTTGATATATTCCACTGATAAACTGTTTTTGAAAAAAACAAGTATGCTAGAATTGCTTAAAAGTTACTGTTCTTTAATTTGAGTAAGATCTTATTTAATGTTTGCCTTCATTTTGTTTAATTTTATTAATTCCAGAGGTTTTTTTAAATACATCACACTGAGATCTATGATAGGCTAAAATTTTATTTATAGTTTTAATTAAAAATAGAATAGTTAGCTCATTAATTACATCCCTTCTTTTTTTCTGTTCCATTCTTTTGTAAATACAAACTAAATCAATGACTAATATTACATAGCAGAAACCCTACCAGATCTCTTCACTAAGTTAACTTATCTAGCTATTTATGTTTTTCTTATTACCAACTCATCTGCCTGCTTGATTGAGATTTCCTACTAACAGAGTTTTGCCATATTAGGACTGCAAACCCTATTCAAAATTATCTCCACAGGCCTTCTCTGGTGGCCCATATTTTGATGAGGCTCTAGAATAAACCATCAGGTTTTTCGATTTTTGATTCTTGTTTCATTATCCTTTTTTTTACATCCTTCATTCACACATCCTTACTACTTGTTGGTAAAAATGAAATAAACCATACAGTTCCAATGAAATTAATGTGATGTTTTGTTGATTCATCTTCTTTGTGCCACCCTCCACATATAAAGAGCAACTGTTGGTAACAAAGAAGCTTCTCTAGCTATGCAATGGATGCAAGGACGACTCAAAATTGTGAATCTACCTTGCTCATTTCCAGTTGCACTCAATATGAACAGATGATTTCCAGATTGTTTTAAACAATTGAACAGGGCTACCTTTATAGACAAACAATAGTCTTTAGTGTGGCTGGTCTGTCATGGAGACTTCTTAGGTTGGACAATGGCTTAAGAAATCTTGAATTGTTTTGTTCCTTGGTGGTTTCTCCCTTTCTATATAGACCTTGATAAAAAGGATGAATCTGGATTTTTACACTTTGCATACATGTTTATTGTCAGATGATGTATGTCTAGACATAAATTGAAACTAGGCTGACAACTACCAAAAGGAAAGTTAAAATAATACTGGCAGTCAAACCATTTGAACTGCAGCTGACCTCAGTGAAAGCATGAAATGGGAAATATAATTTTAGAAACAGCCTACTTTTGAACCTTGACAGGATTAAATGAATACCAATCGTAATGGATGCAGATGACTCCAGAAACTAGATGATAACAGCTGACAGCCAAAAGGCATTTGGACCCTACTTAAGTATTGTTTTCTTCAAAGTCTAGCTCAACAGGAGTTCTCTCTGTAAAGCCATAGATTGGGCAGACAATACAGCTATAATGGAGCCCAGTTTTGATCTGCCATTGATTTTTCATAGCAGATGTGCAACATGTATCATTCTCTCGAGGAGATGAACGTTCAAAATGTACGGATCTGAACAAAGCTTTGGTTTTCCTTTGAAACACTTTGTTGCCCAACTTGTTTGCCCAGTTTCTCAGCACATGTGCAAGTTGCTTATGCAGTTGGCATAAAGGTCTCATGGGCCTTGGGCTGTAAATCAAGACTATATATCCTGCTGTGCATATATGCCATTAAATGTTGAGTGCATGCATGAATGCACTAAATGCTCAATGCCTGGAAAAAAATTATTTCTAGAAATTTTCAGTGGACTGTTTTCTTTCTTTTACCTTTTTTCTTTTTTTGTAAAATTCCACTTCAATTAATTTTTATTTATTTATTCATTCATTTATTTTCACATTTTATGGCCACCCATCTCACAAAAAAGTGACTTAATCACAAAATTGCTTTTAAAAAGTTAAAACTAAGCAAGGAACTATTTTAAAACATATAATTAAATAGCATTTAATTTTTCAAAGGAGGGCCATAATAAGGAGGAAACCCCTAGTTGACGCAAGGGTGTCCTAGGTTTGTAGGCTAGCTTGGAAGTCAAACAAACAAACAAACAGTAGAAGGGAAAGGCAAACCATTTCTGTACTACTGTGCAGAAAACTACCTGGCTGGGTCTAATATATCCTCAGCCTTTAAGCTTGACTCATGGGAGACTTTATTATTTTATTTTCAGAAAAGCTGTAATCCAAATAGATAAGGTGGGGGGGGGGGGAGAGATTACCTGCCTCTGAAGCAATTGGATTTTCAACATTTTCTTGTTCCCGTTCACCATGGTTAGCAACAGCACTGCCACTTTTTGTCCTTCGAAGAACATTGAGAGCTCTGTTTATCTTTTTAAAAGACCTGCTGCGTACAGTAGAACGCTCAAAATGTGAAAGTGTGGCTGAAGAGGAAGAAGACAGAGAACTTTTAGGCTTGGACTGGACTACCAGAAAATCTTATGTATTCCAAGGACTGCTAAATAAAGATAACCTAGAAGTAATATCTGTCTGCTTTAACCCTTATTCCATCATTGCCTATGAGCAATAGTATACGTTAACCAGTGGAAAGTCAGTGTGGCATAGTCGTTTGGGTGTTGGTCAACAAGAAGTAGGTTCAAGTCCACACTTGTTTACTGAAACTTAATGGATGTTGCCAAGCCACACATGTCTTTTAGGATAACATATCTCCCTCTTGGAGCCGTAAAACTGAAGGAGAGTACTACATAAAACTGCATGGAGAAAACTGAATGAATTAATAAATAAATTCCACAGTAATTTCCAAAAGTAATATCTTGCAGTGACACAGTAGAATGTTATTTTGAGCATCATCAATAAATAGGAATATGATTGGAGTATACGCTAAAGTCAAATTTACCTAATGTATATTTAAAATATATTAAATAAAGGAAACATCCTTTGAAAGAAAGCTATGATTCTTCTTCCAAATGCACTGGAGTAGCCCCTTATCCTTCAAAACAATTCCAGCAAGTTATAATACATTTCCACACTTTTTAGCATTATTCTTCAAATAATATATGTGATTGTTATGGATGTTCAAGAATTCTGCTCAGTCTGCATTTTAAAATGAACTGAACAGATCTGAAGCTCAAGTAGGTCTGAATGTGGTTCTGGTTTGCATTTTGTACTTCTCCAAGTTTTAGAAGGCAGTTCTTAGCTCAGAGAAGTAACAACATGCAAATAAAAATGTGAACTTCAACTGTAGTGGCATTTGGAATGAACTTTCTATTTCTTCCAGTCTTTTGTATATGCAACAAATCAGCTCAGAAGAGGGGTGGGACTCCTAGAGCATGGTTTTGAAGACCCATAGGAGCTATAAACAGAAGGAGAGGGCTCCAAGTGATTTATCTATTTCTTTAGTTGTTATATTAAATCCCACCTTTTCTTCAAAAATTCAAGGTACTTACATGGGGGTTTGCCTTCATTTTCTTCTTAAAAGAGCCTTGGAAAATGGTTAGGGCTAAGAAAGAGTGATTAGCCCAGAGTTTCTCAGTGAATTTCCACAGATGAGGGTGAATTTAAATGTGAGTTTACCCTGTCCAACTCCTTATACCACAACACCATATTAACTTCATATGAGCCTATAAGCTAACTTTAGATTGTGTAGAAAGCTGGAGAGAATAATGTAGTGGTAGTGATGATGGCTAACATTGGGCTTGAATAAATAAAAAAAAATCTATATTGTTAGATGTCAAATGGAAAGCATATAGAGCAAAGACTGAAAAAGGACATCAAATAACTGAATGCAAATTTCTTTGATTGTCTGAAAGGTAAGAGGAGACATATTCTTTTAAAGCTTCTAATGTAGTTTTCATGTAAGAGTCTGGTGTAGTAGTTTGGTGTAGTGGTTAAGGCACTAGGCTAGAAACTGGAAAACCATAAGTTCTAGTCCCACCTTAGGCATGAAGCCAGCTGGGTGACTTGGGCCAGTCCAGCTTTCTCAGCCCTAGGAAGAAGGTGCAGGTAGTCCTTGCTTAACAACAGTAATTGGGACCAGCAACTCTGTCACTAAGCAACACGGTCACATGACCATGTTGACTTATGATGGCAGTTGTGGCAGTCCCAGTTGCCATTGTTAGGTGAATCCCATGCAGTTGTAGCATCCTGTGGACACATGATTGCCATTTGCGACCTCCTGACAAGCAATTGACCTTGTTTGTTGGAAGCCAGCAGTGAAGGTGGCAAGTGGCGATCACTTGACTGCAGGATGCTGTGACCATTGTAATTGTGAGCCAGTTGCCAAGCATCCAAATTGCAATCACGTGACTGTGGGGACACTGCGGCAGCCACAACTATGAGGAATGGTTGTAAGTCCCCCTTGTTCAGCGCTGTCCTAAGTTTGAACAGTCATTGAACGAGTGGTCGTTCAATGAGGACTACCTGAAATGGCAAACCACATGGATATAAGAATTTGATCCCAAATATTTGTTCTTCATGGAATAACTACTTCCTCCCCTGATTTTCTTTTCTTTTTCAAAAGCTGCATTTTGTCATTCATAATGTATTGCATTGCATAAAAATAGTGCAAAATGTTTTCTGGCCTGCAAATTTAACAGAAAATGGCCATTTAGAAACAGCCCTGCTGCATCTAAGATGCTTCCTTGTTGGGGCTCTTACTTCTAGACTGGTGGTTTCTGTAAAGATTGGTGGAATTGGTTCCTAGTGGGCTGTCGTCAAAGGTGGCATTGAAGGCAGGATTAATTAGCCCCGGTTCATCAGTCATTAAGGCAATTGTGGCAGCAGCAGAGAACTCAGATCCAAGAGCAGATACTGTTAAAGTAGCATTCGAATCAGGAGATCCAGCTGGTGAACATCGCTTTCTCTGCTTGGTAAAGCCATAATGAGATGCCCCTTTGCACCTAAGGAAAAGTAAAAATGACAGAACTTAAAATAAAAAAACAAAAACTGCTAAAATAAATGGAGACAGGCAACTTCTTTCAGAAACTGAAAATTTGGAAAATGAGACTAAATTAGTTTTGCATTTTCAGTTTTCTAAACAGTCCCCCAATGAAGAAGCATTAAGAAGTTTAGCAGATAAGACTTTATGATTTTATTAAACTATTAGTACAAAAGAAGTATACAGGGGTCATACTGAGGGGGGTCATACAGAGAGAATGACTGAGGAGCAAATTGCAAAACAAATATATGAAGGGAGAAAAAATAAACAGGTCAAGAAGAAAGGGAAGGGAAGGACTAAGAAAGTTGTGCTCGAATGGAGTTGCCAAAATCCTGAAAAAAGGGAGAGGTGAGAAGTTTAAAGAACAAAAGGCCAATTGTGAAACAGTGCATGAATGTAGTGGAAGCAATGATGGTTTGCAAGGATGGCAAAATATGAAGGGGTATATTGAATGGTGTTGGTGTAAATTAGATTTAGCCATATTTCCTTTCTTCTTCTCTTGTGTCCCTCCTTTCATTTATTTTGCTTTATTTATTTTGCAGTCTTTTCTCCGCACTTTGCACAACACTGTTCACTCTGAAAGGGAATCATGCGATGGATAGGCCTGAATGTATGATAGCCAGCCGTGAACGGTAGAAGAGCTTGAGGCCAGCCACCTTTTCTGAGGCTTTAGCAGGGGTGGAAGAGCATGGGAAGGTAGGTCCAGTAAGGATGGATTAAATGATTAGTTCACACCGAAAGCCTCCTCTTGGTGAAGAGATCAGTTCGGTGAACACATGCCTGTTTGTGACTGTAGTTTCTCTGGATTAGAAACAGAGAGACTCAGCTAGCCCGGCAGGTGACTGATCCAAACAAAGAAGAGAGTTATAATCAGTCTTTTGTCTCTGGCTAATGAAAGAGGGCAATGTGTGGCACGGAAGCTTGATTGTGTCAGCTGATGTTTGGGGGAAAGAATAAAGCCACTCATATCAGGGGCCGCCAAGTCCCCCACCATGACAAACAGGGACTGTCATAGCAGCCATGACTTCACCAGGGCCTGACAGCTGCCCACCAGATTTGGGATCCCCGGTGCCTTTCCAAAAGACTTTTCCAGTAACAGTTGGAAATAAATCTGTTTTCTGGGCAGAATTAGGATGCAGATTTAGGCCAGCTAACAAAGGACCCTCGTGTAGAGTCCAACCCTTTCCTCAGAGCTCAGCAGCTTATTTTTATGTTTCTTATTTCTTTCAGGTCTTCAGAGCACAAGCTTTGTTCTTCATGAGGCTTCTACGTCTCTTAGGAGCTGTAAAATATACCATCATGATGGCTCTTAAAATGTGCTGCTGTTTCTGGTGATTCAAGTGCAAGACTTACATTTTTGCTGCTGATTTAAACCTCCTCCCCCCTCCCGCTTGAATTCTTCTTTTCCTCACAGTCTTGGACCCTGGACACAATGTTAGGGCATTATATTGCACACTCACTCATTAATATATACAGCTTTCAGTATAAATATTCTTAGGATGTCCACATGGTAGATATTTAAGCAGCGAGTGCACAGCAACAGAAGATAGCAAGATAGTCTAGTAGCTAGAGATAAGCTGCAATAAAATTGCCTTGTGGACAATGGCATCTGACGGACTTCCTGTTGTGATCTCAAGGTTCTCCAAGGTTGATAAGGAGGTAGATGTGCTTGGAAGTTAACTGGCCCTCAACCTTGGAGGGAGCTTAAAGCATTAGCAATTGGCAACTGGCCCCCTCTGAAACAAACTGATTACCACTAAATATATTTAATAAATGAGTTTCCACTGAAAGTGCCAGTCAAGATGCTAATAGCCTTGTCTGGAACTATGCAAAGTTTTCCACCCGTGTTCAGCAGCAGCACTGTGGATACAGCACAGCATTTGGGAGAAACAAATTTGTTGCAGTTATCTCTACAGATTCTCAAGGAAACTCCCAGGAATATTATCAAATATAATGAGGCTATGATCATTTTCACCTAGCTGCAGGCAATGCAAGTTACCTGGTTCCAAGGTGGAACAGAAAATGCATGGTACACTTACATTTGCCCTAACCTAAGTTGAATAATGATAGTTAAAATTCTGGGAACCACATAAAAGGTATTCCAGGACAGAAGCTACTTAGGCAGGAAAAGGTTAAGTCCAGACTACAGGTTTCTAATCTACCAACTTGCAAAGGGCCTTCTGTCAAGGACAGGAACACATTAGCATAACGTAACTCAGGTGGAGCAAATTCTTTTTTCTTTTTTTGCAAAAATGCAGCAATTTTCACAAACTATTGTTACTTGGATTAATTCGTGTATTTTTCATTTGTTGCCTTCTATTTTTAAAAAAGTTCAAAGTAAATTAAGATTGATGATAAACTAGAGTTCAGCTTGATTCCTGGTGACCACATGGACATGACCATGCAGTTTATTTGGCAACAGGATGCACAGAAGGACAATGGGATTACCTTCTTCTGAGATGTTTGGTTGACTTCCTAATCTAGACCTGCAGCCCTGGGGACTTCTTGGTAGTTTCATAACAAACAAACAATTTATTATGAACACCTCCATGGCAAAATGGTTCACATAGCACGTGCATTTTCAGTCAGTTTGCTCACAGTCTGTCTGAGGAGTTCCTGATTATTGTACTATGAGGAACATTAAATATTAATTGTACACTTAATGAGAACCTGAAAAAATGGCCTGCCCTTGTTTCCAGAACCAATTCATTTATGCTAGTACAGTGATTCAAAACATATTTCTACTTACAGTGCATTCTGCTTTTAATGGGTCTCTAATGGGCTTCCTGTACTTTCTTCTATTGATTAAAGTTAGCCAATGACTTCTATAAATGTCCTTCAGGAAGACAACATGAAATAGGACTTTGTCCTAACAGGACAGAGTTGCTTTTTTGTATGGAAGGCATAGCTTGAAATGCTGATAAGGAGGTGTCTATTTCTTATTTTCCATCTAGACCGATGACTTTCCTTTTGTATTTTTCCAACCATTTATCTCTTTTCCTTGAAGGCCTCACCCACAATTAACATGCTGTAGACAGTATTGGTTTCCAAAAATTCTGTCTGCTGTTATTATGAGTGATGGAAATTCCCGATAGTGTGCAAGATTTCAGGGATGTCTGCCACCATCATCAGTACATTTAAGACTGATTTAAAGACTCATTTTCTGTGCTGCTACATCTTAGCGGCCTGTGCGTTATCAACTTATTGGGTCTCTCAATATATTTAAACCTGCTGTAAAAATAATACAAGTGACTGCATATGGGGTTATGTATGTGTGTGTAAAATAAATTCAGTAGGACTTTTCTGGAGGAAAAAAATCCCAAATTAAACATCTCAAAAAGATCTTAATCCTACAAAGTTTCCTTTCAAAACAGTATTTGATTTAATATTTTTATTGATCTGAGACTGTAAATAAAATGAAAAAGAATTGAATATTCTTTTAATTCTATGCTTATGTGTGCATGTGTGTTTGGATATAAGTTAGGCAACACGACTACTGGTTGTGTGTTAGATTCTTAGTATTTCCACTCAATGACATACTGGAAATTTAGGGACATTTCCCCAAAGCTAATTCTGCATACATTGCATAGGATTATTTAACCTGGACCAAAATTTAACATCGGTTCTTGTGGCTCTGGCCCAGCTCTTCTTCCAATTGAATCAAGATAATTGCATGCAATGATTTGGAATTTCAAAGTTTTCTTTAAAGTTTTCTTTTTTAAAAATGGAGAAATGTATATAACCCTGTTTATTAAAGTTCTTTTTCTTCCTTTCCCAGCTCATTAATACCTTGAGATACTGTACTACCCTTTTTATATACTTTATTTTCTGACATTTTGTTATGGTTCTATCTTCCACTGACATAGTAGTGATAATATTCAATGTAATATTTGATCGTAGAGTATACAACAGGAGCAGAAAAATATAGGAAGCAAATTAGGAGGGAAGAACTGAAGTCAGCTGAACAATTATTACATATAATTAGATTATTGTACACATTATTTATTCAAGTTAAATTACTGGTTGCAGACACATAATTAGGATTATCCCATAGCATGATAATATAATCATTTCTATTCCTGAAAACTTTGATATTATGTTTATAGCTTTTGATATGAGCTCTACAACATTAGACATCCACAAGATCCATCCATTTGCATTTCTAGGATAGCCAGTGAAAGCAAAAATTTGTTAATATCAGGGAAGAGAAATGGTTATATACACATAGGCATCTAGGATATGTTAAAGATGAAATGTAGAAGATTGAAGCATTAGGATCAGAAGTAACTCTTCTGATAACCCTTAGTGTTTATTTTGCTAAGACCTCAAAGAGATCAAAGAACATCTTATTTGAATCTGATTCTGTATCCAACTGTGTTTTCAAGCCAGCTGGAGAGTCTGGAGGGACGTAAGCTCGAACTATTGAATGGGGAAAGGTAGGTGCTGAAGTTTCAGGAGCCAGGTTTATACAGTCATATTCCTTTTCTCACTCAATGGATTGTGAAATCTGAATGCAATAATACCATTCTCCCAGCAAGAACCCATTGTTGGACCACTAGGGTTTTTCTATTGAAGTTTTAGTGTCCCTGATAGGGTTCACGTCACCTCTCATTTACAAGGCAGCCTTCCTTAACCTGTTGCCCTAGAAATTGTCCATCCTTCCTAAAAATTCCAGGAACTCCAATCTCAATACGTTTAGAGAACACCAAGTTGGGTAAGGCTTCTGTTAAGTCTGCTAGTAGTATTATGCACACTCCACAGTGTGCATAAGATACTGAAATTATAAAACAGACATGGATATGGGGTTCCTTATTTTCTTCATTAAGGCATTAAACTAAACTTTTATCCCAGCAGGACTCATCTATGAAGGATGATATAAACAGGGTTCCTTCCACTTTCATTTGCAACATCTAAAAATATGCAAATACAGTTGTGGCTCAGAAACTCCCAGTACACTATACA